ACACACACACACACACACACACACACACACACAAACACACACACACAACATGCGTACACAAAGCACACATATATGCATACGCACACACACACACACACATACACACACACACACACACACACACACACACACGTATGATCCTTCACCAAATTGCACACACACAGACACACACACACACACACATGTATGAGTCCCCACTAAATTACAGACACACAAACAAACACACACACGCACACACACGCACACACAGAGACACACAAGTTTACACCAAATCACACAAACACACACGGGTCTCCATCAAATGATACACACACGCATACATGTTTACACCAAAGTACACACACAGACAAGTCTCCACCAAAGTGTGCACACATATACACACACACAAACTCAAGTCTCCACCAAATTACACAGACACACACCTTTTAGTCTCCACCAATTAACATACACACGCACGCACACACAGCGTGATGGCCTGAGGTAGAGAGGTAACCACAGACATAAACAGAGACGAGCTAAAGTGGGTCATTGTGGGAGATGTGGGACGTCCTGTCAGCTTCAGTCCACTGTTCAGGACTCTGAGCTTGTGGACGTCTCACCATGACGGCATCACTGACTGCACTTTGATCATGCTCAGTAATTTCTCTCTTCGCAAGAGACCTGATTTGACATTTAGTAGATCGTTGGTTCGAGTCCCAGCTGGGCCAGTTGGCATTTCTGTGTGGAGTTTGCATGTTCTCCCCGTGTGGGCGCGGGTTTCCTCCGGGTTTTCCCCAAAGTCCAAACACATGCGCTATAGGTAAATTGGATTAACTAAATTGGCCGTAGTGTGTGTGTGTGTGTGAGAATGTGAGTGTGTGTGGGGGTGTTTCCCAGTAATGGGTTGCAGCTGGAAGGGCATTTGCTGTGTAAAACATATGTCGGTTAAGTTGTTGGTTCTATAAATAATAAAAAATAAATAAATAAATATAAATAAACACTTTATAATAAATAATTAAGTAATTAAACACAAACTATTAATTAATGATTTACTCTTTTATTTATAAACTATTTTATTTAAATGATAATTAACAATCAGATAATCCAGATAAAAAAGATAATCCAGTTTTAAAAGCTTTTTTCGTGAATTTAAATGTGAATAAAATACACATTATTAGCCCCTGTAAAAATTACAGGCGATGTTTCGGAGAGGTGTGTATGTGTGAACAGGCCCTTTTTGAAAATACCGCTAAATTCGTTCTGGCTATTTTCCGGAAAGGGAAGTTGTAACATTACCAGTAATTTGCTGGAATGCTGCGCTGTGTGAACGCAGAAGGTAAATTGCCGGCAAGAGCGCATTCACGTCTAGAACGTGCCGACGTGAGACGTCTACTTTAGCCAATCAGAACACTCAGACGTATTCACATCCGCACTGTTTATGAAAATAAAAGCCTTTGAATATTTTTCCAGACATGTTGAGCTGCTAGATGTTAGTCAGATAACGTTTCTATGTTCTTTCTTAATGCCAAGTGTGTAAGAAATTATGGCTAAAATGATTAAAAAACGCTGTTTGTTTACCTTTAAGCTCTGCTTCAGTTGTCAAATGTTACACACATGCTGTTTGCTATGGAATGCAAAAACTTTAAAGCTCAGTTGCTCAAAATCATTCAGAACGCAGATAAAACCTTATAATTCTAAGATGACAGTTTAGCTGCGGTTCACGTTTCTGCCTTTAGATATCTCACAAAGCAGCGGCATGAATGCTAAAGCTTTAAATAAAAGTGAAACCATCAACAAAAGCATGTTCTCCCTGCGTTCATGTGGGTTTCCTCCCGGTGCTCTGGTTTCCCCCACAAGTCCAAAGACATGCATTAATTTTCTATTAAATTGATATTTGAAAAATACTTGTATTCAAATATATTAAAAGCTCGTCTAACAAATTACTAAATAGAAGGAAAAATCTGCGTGAAACAGCGTTACAGCCCATTTTATCTTTGCATTAAGATGCATTGTATAATTTCTGCCTCAAATGCATCCTAATGCAATGGTAAAATGGGTAGCAAATGCTGTTCAATGCTGATTTTTCCTCTATATGGTCTGGGTATGATAAAATCAAAACAGCATTCTCTGAACTGACATGCCTCACATAACACAAGCTAAATGAGCTCCAGTTTGGTGTTTCACATCTTCACTGCATTTCTCTCTAGAGAATGTGTAGATGTTCGTATGATGATGCCATCACTAGCTTCTCTATGAACTTCTGAACCTTTCTGGAGATGTTTGTTCTACATCACTGCATCGTTCAGCTTTAAGACATTGAAGACCTGCTGTTTAAGTGCGGCTGACTCCCATTTAATGCAGGACTTGAGATAACTCACTTATCCTTGTTTGTTTTTGGCTCACAGGTCCGTGAAATACAGTCTCTTAAACATGTTTTTGAGAGTCCCCGTTCATCTGATTGAACTGCTAAGCCCAGATTTCCATGAATGGAATGGCAATTGCTGCTTGTAAACGTCTATGTGAATGTCTGGGTGACTGATAAAATGTTCACTGCTTCCTCTGACCTCTGACCCCGCTTTAAAAACACATCACTCAACAGCTTTCAAACTCAAAGTAATGCAAGAGGACAGTGATGTAAGCAAACATCTTTAAATGTTTGTATGACTTATGAAGGCATTACCAACATTCATGAACCTAAACCTTTGTTTACGTCCCTTAAACAGCTTTTGAACCTCAAGAAAAGTGGAGACTGGTTTATTTTTACCTCATAAAACACACAACATTATATAACACACACAAACACAAACAATGCAGATCTCTTACCGATTCCCCTTGATCTCCTTTTAGTCCTGGTGCTCCAACCAGAAGTGAAAAGCGCGTGGGCTCTACTTCGAAGCTCTGGAAATCGTCAAACGCCGGAAGAGTCACAGATTGTATGGAGAACCTTGGAGTGCGTGGTGTGGAATAAGGCACAGGCGTTTTAGGCTTGTCAGGATTGACTTTTGGGGTTTCCAGAGTTTTGGGGGGTTTGTTTGGTGCAGCAGTGGTGAACGAAGTGGATTTTAGGGTCGGCAGGGGCTTTTTAGATGTAGAGTTTGGAGCCAGGGTGGATTTGGGGGTTAACGGCGTGGTGTGGGATTTGTTTTTGGGCTGGAGAGGCTTTTTGTTGGTTGGCGAGGGTCTTTTGGGGACAGTCGGTTTGGGGGCAGGCAAGGGTTTCAGAATGGCGTTTTGTTTCTTGTTTGAATTGGTAGGTCTGGGACCAGTAGACGCATTCTTCGTAGGGTTGGGCTTTGGCACAGATGTCGGCTTCTTTACAGGTTTGGAGGGTTTCAATGGTGTAGGCTTGGGACCAATTGCCTTTGAACCAAGTTTGGAAGCAGCCAGTCGTGCTGTGGGCTTTGGTCCAAAAGATTTAGATACGTTAAGTTTTGGAGATGCTTTTCCTGGAGTGGGTTTTGGTCTGGCTGGTTTTGTGGGGGTAAGCCAGACTCCAGGTTTTGAGGCAGTGGGCTTGGGTGTCCGAGGACTAGGCTTGGGGGTGACCAAACTTAAAGATAAAGGAGCATCAATTCCTGTTTGCATCAAGGCAAGAGGTGGAGGTGTGGTGGAGGAAGGCTTGGGTCGCACACCATCACTCATTCTCACAGAAGAAGACCCTCCTGCGCCATTCACGGGTGCCAAAAGGAAATTAGTGGGAGTGTAAGTGAAAGTGCGATTAGGTGGTAAGGTGTGGGCCAGTAGTGGTGGGGCGTGTCGAGATGGGAGTGGAAGCAGGGCAGGAGGTGCCGGCCTGTAGGTGTCATTTTCTCTGCACTGCCTGCGAATGGCGCTGCAGATATTTTGCTGTGCTTGTGCTGAGGGCACCACATCAAACTGGCAAACCGCCCCCTCAAAGGGCACCACACCCGGAAGCAGAGCACTGCTGCCCCCCAGGCGGAAGGTTCCTCGAGGGTTCAGGCGTTCGGGAAGTACAGGGAGCTCCTGAGTAACTCCGCTGTCACTCTCCGAGCAGGGAGAGTGTAGGGTCACTGATCGCCCATTTATAACAAAGGCTAGATGGTGCCAGCGTCCATCGTGAAGGTTGTATGGGAACGTCGCAGCATTCCCGGGGCCTGCATGAAGTGTTAGCTTGCCAGGGGAAATTTCCAACCCGAGCTGAATCCGATTCCCAGATAGGACAGAGAAGAGAAAGGCTGAGTTTAAGCGGTGGGATCGGACGCTCAGGATGATAGTGCAGTTCCAGAAGAGTTCTGGTGGGAACAGGGAGCGTGTGGGTGTGGTGACCCGTGCCCGTGTGGTGAGGATGACTCCTGAGCGGAGGGAGATGACGCCAGCGGGAACGGCACGAGACCCGAGCTCAGCACGCAGAGCCAACCGCTGCAACACGTCCACATCTGCAACACAAATACAAAAGCATCTTAACACAACCTGACATGTACAGATGAAGTCCAAAATATTATTAAATTATTACATCTCAAAAATTTCTCAGGTGATGTTTGATGGAAAGATTTTCAACACATTTAATAATTCCTTTTGTGTTTGCCATGCTGACAGAATATAATATCTTACTATTTATTTCGCAAGATCCTATTACTCAGCTGAGTACAGTGTTTCTCAACCACGTTCTTGGGGGACCACCAGCTCTGCACATTTTTCATGTCTCCGTAACCAAACACACCTGATTCAGATTATCTGCTCATTAGCAGAGACTGAGAGACCTTTAATGGGTGTGTAATGGGTTGAGAAACACTGGCTATGTTTACATTGATATCAGTTGTAATCAAATTATTTTCCTTAATCTGAATAAGACAATAATATGATTAAGGTGTTTACATGAGTTGTTTGTTCCTTTCATGATCCCGTTTTACATTATATCACATCAGGGCTGAAGTGGGACTCCTTTTCAGCCCTGGAGTTTCAAGCCTTAGACCGGCCCACCTCTGGTTCACGACTGACTATATTAAAATAACGTCATTTCCAATTCAGTTTCTAATTACACTATCACGTCTTTTTCAAGAAAACAGCTGCTTTAAAACTTCAAATGTTCCACAACCCTAACAGTATTATATGTCTTAACAATAAAAATGAAAAAATATATATATAATAATAATTACTCGGGTGAGGTTCGAACACAGGTCGACGGCGTTGTAACGCAAAGTGCTGACCACTGGACCACAATGGCGCTGTTTCATTTAGAGGAAAAAATAAATATTGCAGTGTTATCCGCAAGGCTGCATTTTGCCCATGGGGCTGCGAGACAATAAATAAAAAGAGCAGAGCTGCGGCAAAATAATAAATAAAAAGAGTGAGGCTATGGTCAAATAAATAAATGAAAAAAGTGTGACTGCTGAAAGTGCAAGCAGCTAAGAACACCGGCCCTCGCGGCCAAAAAATGGACCGACCCACCGGGAATTCTCCCGGTTCTCCCGATTAGCCAATCCGGGCCTGTATCACATAATTCGATTAACGTCATTGCGTCACTGAGCTGTTCACGTTTCCTCCAGAGTTACATTTTTAATTTGTTGACCTTAACTGCAGTTTGGCACTTTCAGTTTCATTCAGGAACATTTCATGCATGCCTCCTGTGACAAACGAGATTTCGGATGCAAGTATGAACTGCTGGAAGAGTGTTGTTTTAATGGAGTTTAATACCGCAAGCCGAATTCGTAAACAACTCTGCATTTCGCGATGCAGGTGTCTGTGGTCCTTCACTGTCTCGGTAGGTGCAGAAAATAGTGTCAAACAGCCGTGTGTGTATAGACCAGTGGTGTCAAACTCATTTCAGCTCAGGGGCCACATGGAGGAAAATCTATTCCCGAGTGGGCCGGACAGGTAAAATCATGGAGTATATAACTTAAAAACAACAACTTCAGATTGTTTTCTTTGTTTGTTTGTTTGTTTAATACGATCAATACAAACCATAAAGCTGGAGCCTGAGGACAACACGATCTCATGGCAATTCGTAACTTTACGATCTTATTCATACAATTTAGTACGATTTGCTTATCCACCTATGATAGTTGGGTTTAGGGGTGTGGTTGGGTGCCACACATTTTTTATATCGGACATTTTTGTATGACTAAACTTGAATTAGTGAACTAATATGACAAAACGTGAATTTGTTACGTTACCTCGTGAGATCACCTCAGTGTGGTGTGGCAGGGCATAGATGTGGTCTTTCTCTCTGAGAAGGCGGTCACACTGATACTGATACAGGCTTCTGGCTCGAATGAAATTAACAGTTTGCTATTGCGCCACCCAATGGACACAATTGGAATAGCAGTTTCTTTTATTGAAAAATTGCATCTCATTTTTAAACTTTACAGAATCACCTCGCCTGATCCGACCCGCAGGCAATACACTTTACACCCCTGGAATCGAGTATCCTATCGCAAAAATGGTGCGAAAATCCTACACGATGGTAATAGTTTGATTGCAGTGTTTACATGTGTGTACTGCACTTCAATAATGGGACTAAGATAGGCACCCTCCACATTTCTGTTTAGTTCAATTATGACCTCGGTTAAATTAATCAAACATCACTAGTTTGCATGGTAAACTCTCAATTAGAGTATTGTCGTATTAAAATCAGATTATTGGTGCCCATGTAAACATACTCACTAGCTTAGTGCAAGGCATAACTAGGCTATGTAAGTTACATATAATTCTTAACACTATAACATTTCCTCTGTTAAATAAAACTTGGAATTTTTTTTTTAAATCAGGATTTTTTTTAATATATTTTACATATATAATATACATCTATTTATAAAATAAAAATAAATATTTATATACATTTAAAACATATTAACCAGAATTATAAAAATGTATATAAAAATACAGAAATGTTTTTAGGAAGATTCTGAGTGTTCACACTTTACACACTTTACACACACACACACACACACACACATGCACGCACACACAATCACACTGAAGCAATAAACTTCAGTTTGATTTCATGGCATCTTTAGGAGGGTCCATGACTCCCCATTACATCATTTTAATGTGCTAATTCAGTTTTTCACCATGCATGTTAAAATCCAGCAGGAATACATCCTTTGAGGCTGAAAAGAAGCAGCGAGTTAACAGCTGCATGTCTGCGTCTGATGCCAAAACTCCAGTGCTAAACACTGGCTTCTGACAGGGAAAATCTGTGAACTTATCAGCTTGAACTTGTGTGTGTGAATCTGTGTGAGTGTGTGTGTGTTTCACTGGGGTCAGAGCTGGCTTCACAAAGTTTGGACAGAGCCAAACTTACAAGAACAGCACTTCCTAGAACGACTGTCTGAATGATGCGTTTGATTGTGTGAAGGAGTTGTCTGTGTTCCATGTCCAGATCATAAATCAGGAATAAACAAAACTGTGAGGGACTTTCAATAGTTTTGTGACTGCTATATATTGTACACTCACCGGCCACTTTATTAGGTACACCTTACGGGTACCGGGTTGGATACCCTTTTGCCTTTAAAACTTTGCCTTAATCCTTCATGGCGTAGATTCGACAAGGTATTGGAAATCTTCCTCAGAAATTTTGCTCCATATTGAGATGATAGCATCATGCAGTTGCTGCAGATTTGTCAGCTGCACATCCATGGTGTGAATCTCGCTTTCCACCACATCCCAAAGGTGCTCTATTGGATTGAGATCTAGTGACTGTGGAGGCCATTTGAGTACTGTGAACTCGTTGCCATGTTTAAGAAACCAGTCTGAGATGATTCACACTTTACGACATGGTGTGTTTCCTGCTAGAAATAGCCATCTGAAGATGGAGACACTGTGGTCATAAAGGGATGAACATGGTTAGCAACAATACTCAGGTAGGCTGTGGCGTTGAAACAATGCTCAGTTGGTACTAATGGGCCCAAAGTGTACCAAGAAAATACCCCTACACCATCACACCATCACCACCAGCCTGAACCGTTGATCAAGGCAGGATGGATCCTTGCTTTCATGTTTTCATTCTGACCCTACCATCTGAATGTCACAGCAGAAATCGAAACTCAGAGCAGGCAACGTTTCTCCAATCTTCTATTGTCCAATTTTGGTGAGCCTGTGTGAATTGTAGCCTCAGTTTCCTGTTCTTAATCAACAGGAGTGACACCCGGTGTGGTCTTCTGCTGCTGTAGCCCATCCACCTCTAAGGTTGTTGTGTGTTCAGAGATGCTCTTCTGCATAACTTGGTTGTAACGAGTGCTTATTTGAGTTACTGTTGCCTTTCTATCAGCTGGAACCAGTCTGGCCATTCTCCTCTGGCATCAACAAGGCATTTGCGCCCACAGAACTGCTGCTCACTGGATATTTTCTCTTTATCGGACCATTCTCTGTAAATCCTAGAGATGGTTGTGCATGAAACTTCCAGTAGATCAGCAGTTTCTGAAATACTCAGACCAGCCCATCTGGCACCAACAACAATGCCACATTTAATGTCACTTATATCACCTTTCTTCCCCATTCTGATGCTCAGTTTGAACAGCAGCAGATCGTCTTGACCATGTCTACATGCCTAAATGCATTGAGTTGCTGCCATGTGATTGGCTGTTTGCGTTAACAAGCAGTTGGACAGGTGTACCTTATAAAGAGGGCGGTGAGTGTATATCCAGAGTAATCAGTTGCATACATTTTACAGCTTGGTTTAAAAAAAAAACTGCATTCAGAATTGGAACGATAAAGAAAAAAAGAAAGAAAAAAAAGTACCTTTTTTTTTTAATCACAAATGAAACTTAACTGATGAATCTGCAAAATAGGTCAAATTAGAGCTGTGATTAGATTTTAGATGACACTTCTCTTTTTTAAAATCTAAAATTAGCCTGAAATGCATTCTGAGATTGATCAATGCATGCATGAGACTCGTCCTTGTAATTTTGCCAAAATGAGGCATCTCAAAATATTGCGTAATTATTAGGCAATCCCAAAAGACGAAGTGAAACACACAATGAAAACTGTCAAAAGAGCGCATAATCAGAATATTTAATATTATGTCATGTAAAATAGGTTAAGCCAGATGGTGAACCCTGTGAACTTTTATTTCCGTCAGTATGAATGTGATTGAACTTGCAGATTTATCTTAACATTATTCTCAGACCTTTTCATATCTGTGCACTCTGAATAAATCAGCATGAGTCAGCAGTCAAGAGGGAACATGATGTCATTTCTTTCTGTTAAACAGACATGGAGTCACACACACACACACACACACACACACACACACACACACACACACACACACACACACACACACACACACACACACACTCATTCATGTAATAGCGGTTTTAGGACTTGCTTAACTGGGAAAAGTGCTTGGAAATGAGAGATGTTTGGCAGGAGAAAAGCTAAAAGCCGGGTAAGGAAACTCATACGTATGTGAGAAAGAGGGGGTTTCAAGAATCAGGGTATAAAAGTTTAATGTTGTA